AACACCAAGCACACACAGCAATGGGGAAAAGCACTGAGTAGTTTAAAATAGGAGAATTTTGTATGGCTGAGATTGATATAAAGTTGAGAATTGTTTATGAGCAGGACAATATCAGGACATTGGTGTGATAGGATAAGAAATGTAAGATCAAGTTATGGAAAAGTTTGAAGGCTAGAATAAATCAGTATGGGAATTTAAAGAGGGTATTACTTGATCATAATGTTGAGAGAAGTGAATTATTTGGTCAGCAGAGTGCCAGGCATATATTAGGGAACTAAAAAAGAAAAAGATGATGTCACATGTTTGGCCAAGGAGGCAGAAAGTGTATGAAAGTATGGGCAAGGAAGAAAAAAAGAATATAAGCGAACTATGACACATGGATTCCTAATTAAGAGCAGACAGTATGGTTTATAGTGAAATCCAAAACTTCAATAAAGACACATAATTAATCTGATTCATAAAGCTAGTACAACTTTTTTTTTAAGTTCACACAGTCTGAAAACTGTCAGGCTGCTGTGGTAAATAGCCGAAAGAAAGAAGAGTTCAGCCTCTTACAAAGAATACAACGCTCCCAAAGCCAGCTTCTTCAGCACATTAATCTAGCCCTTCCAGTGACTTTGAGCTTCTTTGCAATTGGCCAGGAAGTTCTGCCCGTGCTGGGAATTGGGTTTAACAGAGCCAAGTTGTATGTTGAAAAAATCTTTCAGAAAACAAATAACTGTAGAGTTGGTCTTTTCTGAATTAGTAATTTGGTGAAATGCTTCTGAGAGCCCTTGTCTGGCATCCTTTTTCTAATTACTCTTTGTCTGCTGTTCATTCGGCAGATTGCCTTGTCATTCTTCCCTCTTGGTCATATACAGCTTAATACACCTGTCCCTAACAGCTCCCTTTAGACAGCTCTAAAGATGTCCTTTAGAGTCTTAGATGCAGCATCTAAACTATAATAGATAATAGATTACTACTACTACTACTACTACTACTACTACTAATAATAATAATAATAATAATAATAATAATAATAATAATAATAAGCCTGAAAAAGTGGTCAAAAGTGAGCATGCAAAACTGCTATGGGACTTCTGAACAGACTGACAAAGTTTTGAAACACACCTCAGATATCACGATTGTGGAGAAGAAAAAAGTATGGATCATCGACATTGTCATACCTGGTGACAGCAGAATCGACGAGAAACAACTTGAAAAAATCACCAGGTATCAGGACTTGAAAATCGAACTGCAGGGACTCTGGCATAAACCAGTGCAGGTGGTTCCAGTGGTACTCAGCACACTGGGTGCTATGCCTAAAGACCTAGGCAAGCACTTAAAAACAATTGGCACTGACAAAATCACCTCTGGTCAGCTGCAGAAGGCCACCTTACTGGGATCTGCTCACATAATCTGCCGATACATCACGCAGTCCCAAACGCTTGGGAAGTGTTCGTCTAGTGATTCGTGATATGAAACCCAGCATAGTTGTTGTTTTTTGATGATGATGATGATGATGATGATGATGATGACGACGACAACAACTATTATTATTATTATTATTATTATTATTATTATTATTATTATTATTATTATTATTATTATTCCTACAATAACACCAGTGGAACTGCAAAAAAACTGCACTACTCAGAACATCGTATATTTTAAGAAGATACTTGGTTGATACCTAGGACGCTGGCAGCAACCCGTATCAACCATTAGCACCAGTCACTGGTATTTGTGATGCATTTTTTAATGTTCAGTTGACTGAGTTTCATGTTTAATGAATAAAAGAGATAATAATAGTAATAATAACAACAGCATGTAGTAGAAAGACTCTATGAGCAGAATTCATGTATATATTTAGAATAATATACATACTTTTAAAACAAAAACCTCAAAACCTAACGTGGGCATGCAGTGGTAAAAAGAATAAAATCTCTGCTGACAGGCCAATAAACATTTTATTATTAAGGTATTACAATAAAATTATATATAAATTATTAAGTTGAAGGCATTCTAAATAAGTGCAATGTTTTCCTATGAAAAGATTAAATATACTTTTAACTAACGTAAAGATGCTTTATATTACAGTTTTTAAGTAACTCCATAGAAACATTCCAAGGAAAGATATACGACACTTTTACAAATCTTCTTCCATATGTCTTGTACATTTTATTTGAAAGCATATGAATTAGTAAACATACTATAATATTGGCTTTCTGTGCTCAATCATGTCTATTTCACTATATAATTTTCAGCTCATAGATAATGCCTAGAATGGTGGTAAATCCTGATCTTCAATGTTCTTCTCCAGGTCCAGCGCAATCAATGTAGTGAAGATATTACGTGTTTTGAGAGTCCTCAGACCACTGCGGGCAATCAACAGAGCGAAGGGTTTAAAGGTAGAAAACTGTTACCAGTCCATGAAAGATGAAATGCTCTCTCGCTTTATGCTACTTCTCTGAATGAATCAGCTTGGGGTCTTTTCTAGTGCTAGGCAAGGAATATAAAGGCAGTGATTCAGTCCATCTGCTTTGTTCGGATAGGCAGGATTCCTTGTTAACAGCAGGTGATTTTTTTTTTCCTGTCTTCAAGGTAATAAGAGCCCCAAAGTGTACAATTCTATTTATCTTCCTATATATAAATGTCATTCATGTTTATAGCAAAAAATAGTCTGTCCCTTTTTTTTTTCTGGGATAATATTGGATTGGAGCCAATATAAATTGCTTATGAATTGGTATTAAATTATTTGACTTGCAAATGCTCTGGGACAGGAAATTTCTCTTCGATGCAGTGATCCATATTCGTATTTATTTATCAAATTTCTACACCACCCATTTCATCTAAATGAACTGGTGACTCTTAGGTGTTGTTTGTAAATTGTTTGTAAAATGTGAAAGGCAATTCTGAGCGAAGTACAGCATAGGCCTGGCAATGCTACCTGAGGGTACAGATTTTCTCTAATACTGTCTCATTCAAAAATCTTTATGGGCTCCAGTACAGCTTAAGGGTGGCCATTTGTTATCTAAACAAAGGCAACATGTTCATTTAAGTTCTAGGTCCTCTTCCCCGCAAAATCACTACCTTAGAAGGTACTGTTGTTTAGTTTTTTCACCGTGGATACAAATGATAAAAAGCTGATAAAGTTTTTAGAAAGTGGGCAGTTTTATCTATTGTGAGACATTTATGATGAAATGATGCTCTTACTCTTTTCTGCTTCCCAAAACAGTCTAAATAGCCTGTAGATTTTTGCCTTCTCAGTGGTACTGCACAGATGTATAAGATGGCTCAGTGACAACAATAATAGTACTTAAACCAGTGGTTCCCAAAGTGGACAGTACTGCCCCCTGGGGGCAGTGGGATGACTTAGGGGGCGCTAAGAGGCAAGGGGAGCGGCAGGGGGGCGCTAAGAGGCTTGCCTACTACCTTGCCTGCCGCCCCTTTCTTCTGCCGCCCTCCAGCCTGCACGCTTTGGCTGAATGCGGGCCACCGCTGTGAGAATAATGCGAATCAAGCCTCGCGAGAGTGGATCTTCTACCCATGGAGCTTACATGGCGGTGGCCCACACTCAGCTAAAACACTCAGAGGACCGATACAGGTGGCATAAGCCTCATGCTTCCTGGTTGCCTCCCGCATTCCCCCTCAGCAGCTGCGACCTGCAAGGCCCAGCAGCTGACAAGATGCGGGCTAGCAGGGAGAGTAGCGACAGGTCTGCCCTGACTGGTGAGCCAGTCAGGGTGGGCTGGTTCATCTTTCCTGCAGCTCACTTCTCCTGGAGCTCCTGCAGTGGGCGAGGCTACAGCTTCGCTTGAAGTTCCCAGCCCTTTCCCCAAAAGAGGGAGAAGTGGAAGTCCCACCTGCGACCCCTTTGTTGGAGCCAGAAGGCTTGCCTGCTGGCTTTTCTGGGTAACATGAGACCAGGCATGAATGGACAATTGTTCCTGGGACTCTGGGAAACTCGTCATGAGAAATACTGCCTGATGACTACCTTGTTGGAAGTGTGTGTGTGTGTGTGTGTGTGTTTCAGGTAGTTCTCCTAGCTTAGGAGGAGAGAGTGAAGGAGGAAGGGAAGGGAGAGAGAAAGAGGGAGAAAGAGAAAGTAAGAGAAAGAGAGAGTGGAAGAGACAAGAAAGTGAGGAAAGAAAAGGGAAAAAAAGAAAAAGGGAGAGAAAGGAAGAGAAAGGAGGAAAAGGGATAGACAAAGAAAGCGGGGGGATGGAAGTGACAAAGAAAGAAAGAAGGAAGGAAGGAAAGCAAGAAAGAGAAAGAAAAAGAAAGAAAGAAAGAAAGAAAGAAAGAAAGAAAGAAAGAAAGAAAGAAAGAAAGAAAGAAAGAGGGAGGAGAAAGTGAATGGGATAAATGGAGGGAGGGAGGGAGGGAGAGAAAGAGAGAGGGAAAGAGAGAGTAGGAAGAGATAAGAAAGAAAAGGAAAAAAAGGAAAGAAAAATGAGGGAGAAAAAAGGAAGAAAAGGGGTAAACAAAGAAAGAGGGGGTGGAAGGGACAGAAAGAAAAAGAAAGAATGAAAGAGAGAAAGAGATGGAGGACAAAGTGAATGAGATATCTAGTCCAACCACCTGCTCCAGCAGGGTTAGAAGGGAGCGTGTTTGTGTGTGTGTGTGTGTGTATCTGTGTGTATGTGCGCGCACGCGCGCGTGCATGGCTGTCAAAACTCCCAAAACAGGTCAAGTAGCTCTGGGGAAGTCAGTCATAAATTAGAACACTTGCTAAGCAACCGGCCATGAAGCGAGGACCACTTGTATTTGGTTTGCCAGTCACATGGCCACCTGGCCATGACCACCCAGTCACATGACCACCAAGCCATGCCCACACAGCAAGCCACACCCACCCAGTCACGTAACCACCAAGCCACACCTGCAAATTAGGCCACGCCCACAGAACTGGTTGTTAAGAAATTTGAATCCCACCCCTGGGTGGGGGGGGCAATGAGGATGAGTTTGTAGCACCAAGGGGGCAGTGGACTGAAAAAGTTTGGGAACCACTGACTTAAACGACTCAAAAGTGAAAAATTCAACTTGCTTTTATTTCTGATTTTTATTTGCAGCATGTGGTTCAATGCGTATTTGTAGCTATACGAACCATAGGGAATATTGTGATCGTGACCACTTTGTTGCAGTTCATGTTTGCCTGCATTGGAGTTCAGTTGTTCAAGGTATGTCATGGGATCTCTTTCTCGCTTATTCATTGAAGGTCAAAAGCATGACAATCCAATGGAACTGTTTGGAAGAGTTTGGGAGAAGACAAAAAGAAAAACTGCCTTGGGTGGGGGGCTCTACCTTTTTTCTAGAATGATCATCACAAAAGATTAAAGTAACCAACTTGTTTAATTTGAGAGAGCTACTGGGCACTTTAGTTCATAATGTACTCTCAGGGAGTAACTAAGGGTGTTCAACTTTTGAATATGTTCACTGTCACTGTAATTCTCTGAAAAAGTAGCCCCAAATACTACTTGAATGTGATTTGGGGCCTTGTGCCACATTTGATGATAATTTGAGGGAAGATTTTATGTTTGCAGCTGGATGGATGTGGGAACTTCTCTGAATTTTGTTGAATAGTGAAGACAAGGAGAATCAACCCAGCTGTTCTCTCAGTGCATTCAGTTCACACATGAATGAACTTTTCCTGAAGCTAGGGATAATTCCAGAAGCTGGAAAGCCCGCCATATGGATCTCACAACCTACAAAGTTAATCAGGTGTACACACAGGGTAGATATTAATATTGTGGCTGTTATTGAAAGTAATTGGAATATGGGTTTGAAAAAAAGTGGAAGCTTTTGCTAGCAATGAGCTGCCTTCACTGTATTTTCTATCTGAAAACTACTTTTGCAGTATCAGCAATAATGGTACAGGTGAAGTATGAAAACTCAGAACATTTCAGTTAGATTCATAAGATCTTAGATTAAGTATTCTTCATTTCATTATATGAATAATAATTCATATAATAATAGTATATAGTGTTTGAGTGTACTCCAGTGTTCTGAGTACACTAAACATTTTCCCTAACATAGAGAATTGCTATGATTTTTCTGTTTCTTTCAAAATCCTCTTTGTTTAATAATATATCATTTTATACCAAGTCAATAATATTGTCCTTTCGCATGCAATATATCACTATATGATTCTTACCCTTTTATCTTTTTTATGCTTACTGTAATCACAATTACAGATAGTCCTTCACTTGTAACCGGTCACTTAGTGATCATTTGAAGTTACAGTAGCACTGCAAAAAGTGACTTATGACCTGTTTTCACACTTAACAATGATTGCAGCATCTCAATGATCACATGATCAAAATTCAGGCACATGGGAACTGGCATGTATTTATGATAGCTGCACTGTCTGGGGTCATGTGATCACCATTTGTAACATTCCCAGCCTCCAACAAGCAGTCAATGGGGGGGAAGCCAGATTCATTTAACAACCGTGTGATTCACTTAACAACTCCAGTGATTTGCTTAACAACTGTGGCAAAAAAAGTCATAAAATGGGGCACAACTCACTTAACAACTGTCATACTTAGCAATGGAAATCTGAGGGTCAATTGTGGTTGTAAGTCGAGGACATACAGGATACATTTTTTCCATTTGGACTAAGGAAAGTTACACAAAGTACATGAAAAGAGTTAGAATTTATAAGCTAAAGAAATTAAGCATATAAAATATGAGCAAAGAAAAATGAACTAAATTTAGTTTACATCAAAATGATTGATGTATCTGCATCTTTTCCACACTCTTTTATCATTGCAAATGTTGTGTTTTGTTATGTAAGCTTTTCATCTTCTTGTTTTTGAGAAACATATCAGCTCCTTCAAATCACAGGTTTCTTAAACTTTCCCTTCCCTCTCAACCTATTCCCTTTCCCTCATACCCATTCTGATAAAGGGAAAATCTTCAGTATATTTATGTAATGTACATGCCAAATCTAGTTGACATTTTGGTGGATTTGCATAGTTGAAATAAATTGGAAAATGGCTGGAAACCTGTTTTGTTGATAACTAATCTTTCTTTGATTCAGACATCTGCTAAAATCATATAAACATTAAAAATAACTTTTTAATAGAAGGAATTCTGAGTTACAAAATAACCGTATGATAAAATACTTATTCCTACCCCAGTTTGACTCTTTGTTGCATGTGTGTTGCCTTGAATGAAATTTTATAGCTAAAGTTCAGAAGTACAATTTTTGGCAACATAGACTATGATCCATACAGAATGCAGTAAGGCTGCTCATATCATTCAAGCTGATAAAACTTTAAACAGCAATAGATGAAGAGAGAAGAAAGCACATTTTTTCTTCATGAGGCAGTAATGAAAGCATAACTCTGTGTTCTGCTCTATAATTAAATTCTTCTTCTCCTTCATCCTCCTCCAGGGCAAACTGTACAGCTGCACTGATAGCTCCAAGCAAACAGAAGCAGAATGCAAGTGAGTTCATGATTGTTTGTCTGACCTTTCTTCCATGTCAACCACTGTCGAGGAATTTTCTTTTGTGTCTATTTCCCCCAATCCCCCTTAATTTCCTTTTCCTCATAGGGGCAATTTTATCACTTACAAGGATGGAGAAGTGTCTCAACCAATGATTCAGGCCCGAAGCTGGGAGAATAGCAAATTCGATTTTGACAATGTCCTAACAGCTATGATGGCCCTTTTCACTGTTTCAACCTTTGAAGGATGGCCAGAGTGAGTATATAAGACATTATTTCTTTATATTTTATGGATACAAAATAGTTTGCCTTTTTCAGCATTTAAATGGACATGTTTAACTTGACTTGTCAGTCAATATTTCCATGGGTTATTATGTGCTAACTTACAACCTGTTTCAAAAGTTCTTTAGAAAATAATGTTTCATTTCATTTTACTGTCTCATTTCTGACATAGTCACAAGACTGAATATCTGGAAATCTGGAAGCTTTCAAATGGCACATTCAGAAGGCTGTTTTCTTGTGCTTTCATGCTCAAAAAGGATCTTTAAAAATAGGCCTGCCAATTAGGTTGTTTGAAAGTATTAATTTCTATTTCCTTTTTGTTTTGTTTTGTTTCCAGACTGCTGTATCGATCTATCGATTCCCATATGGAAGATGTGGGGCCCATCTATAACCACAGGGTGGAGATCTCAATTTTCTTCATTATTTATATCATCATCATTGCTTTCTTCATGATGAACATCTTTGTTGGTTTCGTCATCGTCACATTTCAAGAGCAAGGAGAACAGGAATATAAGAACTGTGAGCTTGACAAGAACCAGGTAATTCCATTATGTGGCTCTTAAAATCCTGCAAGATACAATTCAAATATCCAACTAAATATTTATTATTAGAATGCAAGGTAAGAGTAGTACTACCCTACTACAAAACTTAAGGAATTGTGGTAGACCTGCTGACTGCTGAAAAACATTACCCATCCATACACTATTAAAATATTTCATTATCTTCATAGAAAAATTAAAGAAAGATATAGGGTGACGCCTGATAAAACAGGCATCACAATGCAAGCTCCTCCCCTGTTATATGTGCATTGTGCCATTGCTTGTATAATAATGTAAATTTCATCACTGAAATAAAACTGTCAGATTCAGTAGGGACCTCTTGGAAGATAGCAAGTCCTTGTTCCTGTGGCAATGATATATTTTAGAGTCTTCATGTCATATTTTGATAAGTATTAACAGACCAGTACTGCTGAGAACAGTGGTTTATTCAAAGTAAATAATTGTAATATTGCAATATTAAAGGTTATTAGATTTCATAAGATTTTAAGACTGCAACTTCTAGAATTTCTAGTCATCATAGATCATATTAGATGGAATTCTCAAAATTACATGACCTTTCCTGAGGTACAATCGCTCTGACCAGCTGTTTCTCACAAAATGGTCTATACTACACAAAATTTTGGGCCCAAAACAATGTGCTGGTCATTAAGGCACCCCAAGACTTACCATTAGAAAATGATTTCTCCTAAAGCAAGGGTCTTCAAACTTGGCAAGTTTAAGGCTTGTGGACTTCAACTCCCAGAATTCCCAAGCTAACATTACTGAAGGAAGAATTTTGGGGGTTGAAGTCCACAAGTCTTCAAGCTGTCAAGTTTGAAGACCCCTGTCCTAAAGCTAGAATGTTTATAATAAATATTTCTGACCAAGCTAAACAATCATATACTTGTAGAATTTATTTTTCTAACCTGCTGCTTTCTCTTAATAGCGTCAATGTGTAGAATATGCCCTGAAAGCCCGTCCCCTGCGAAGATATATCCCCAAAAACCAGTACCAATATAAAGTATGGTATGTGGTGAACTCCACCTATTTTGAATACCTGATGTTCGTCCTCATCTTGCTGAACACCATCTGCCTGGCCATGCAGGTAGGTGGGAAGTTAGAAAATACTAGGCTGTGCAAAGCTTCAGAAATAATTCGGCAAAGATACTTCAAATAAATCTTTAAAACAAATGTATCTTCACCTGGCTAACTACTGCAGCTGCCATATTATCTCAGGAAATGGCATTGCTTGCTTTAAACACTGGAATGGCAAGTCCAATGTCTTTATCCCATGCATTCTGAGACACGTTTTTGGAATAGAATTCAGTGCAGGATACAGCCCAAGAAAGTCTTACAATATCATAGTTAATATTGAGTTCTCTACAATATTCATGATCTAGAAATTGCACAGTTCCTGTGGTTTCTTTCATTATCAAGGGAAAAGAAGTACATTATTAAAACCAAGAAGAATTTTGTGAGAGAGCTAAAATTATCTAAAAATATTAATTTGTCCCATTCTGCAAAAGCAGATTAAATTGTACCAACTGCATCCCCTTTTTAAAGCAAGTGTATTTCCTAAGTACAAAATACAGAAACAATAAAAATGTTAAATTATTTTTAATTTAAATTGTGCATACATACGTACACATACACATATACACACAGAAATTTTTTACAATAATTGTAAAGTGAGTCACTATGTTGTAATGATGGTGTCATTAAAAAAATCTTGTTGTTAAATGAATCCAGCATATCCAGTGGCTATTTTTTGCCATTTTTCAGCCAGAAAATAGCAAAAAAATTTACAAATTGCAGCAACATGACCACAGAATGTTGCAACCAATGGTAAATGCAAGCTGGTTGCCAAAAGCCTGAAAAGTAATCATGTGATGGGGGAAGCAGCAGTCATAACTTTGAGGACAGGTCACAAGTATAACACAGATACGCCTCTATATATGACTGTAATGGAGTCTGTTCATTATAGTCATACGTCGTGATACTCATAAAATGGATTGGTCACATAACCCAACTTGTTTTTATGTTTTTGTTGCATTCATTAAGCAATCCAGGTGGTCGTAAAGTGAATGCTGTAATAAGCAAACTAATAGTTTGCTATGTATGCATTTTGCTAAAACACGGAAGAAAAACCATCATATAATGCAGTCATGTGACCACAACACACTGCAAATGGCCATAAATGTGGCCATGTTGCCGAGTGCCCGAAGTTTGGACACATGACTGTGAAGGAGGTCTAAACTGTTGCAACCACAGACCTGGGTTGAAAGTCCCATTTTGGTGGGTCTGCCATAATTCTGAACAGTTGCAAAGTGGCCAAATCACAAGTCAAACACTGCCTGCTCTGAGGACATGGCCTTTCTTTTTTTATTATTTAGATATAGGATAAAATCACATCATATTTCAACTGGATAGCCCATGATATTGTGTTAAAAAAACATGTTCTCCATATCACAGCTGTTTCTGAAATGAAATAGATTTTTAATGCTTAATTCATTAAATTATAAAGAAATCCGAAGAAATTAGAAGTGAAACAGAAGATGAGAGAGAGAACTGATAAAAGGAGAAAACAATCCACTTTTCAGAGTGCAAATTGGAATAATTAGTTCTTGGGGATTTGTTTTCAGCACTATGGTCAAAGTATCCTCTTCAAACAAGCAATGAACATCCTCAACATGCTGTTCACTGGCCTTTTCACCGTTGAGATGGTTCTAAAGTTAATCGCCTTCAAACCCAAGGTATGTTGTCGATCAAAGTTTCTCTCTGTGCATCTATGGGGTCAAAAAGCAGACTGGAGGAGATAAAAAAGGTAATAAAGTCAGCTTTATCTCCTATACTCCTCCACAATCTAAAGGAAATGGTCTTCAGCAGTTGCTGTCCAGACTGGAATCTCATTCTGTGCTTGGAATAGCCTTCCATTTTTAAATTGAGTATACAGACAGAATCATGCCTTTTAAAAAATACAGCATTTCTCTGATTCGTCAGAATATATCAGCTGTAAAATGTCATGCACCCCAATGGACACCTATAGGAACATGAGAATTGCCTCAGCTCCAACTTGTAACTACTAATTTGAGGGCATAACTAAGATATTTGCTTCTGGGGCTGAAAAATGCTCTCTTGAACACACTCTATTCAATTCCTTTTGAAAAGCAAAGTTTAAAAAAAACTGTTGTAGTGTAAGCTGAGCACCAAAGAGACAAGAGTTAGGAAGTTGGAACAAGAAGGCTTGTACGATTCAAAAAAGAGGGTTGAAATAAAAAGATAAAAAGTAACAGCTGTGTTGCGATGATGGAGAAGGAAAAAGTGGCAGCTTCTTCCACAGAGAAAAGGCAGGAAGCAAGGAGAAAGTTTGCATCAAGTATTAAGCTTATTGATGAAGTTGGAAAGGGAAAGGGAAACAGGGTTTTCTATTTATTCAGCAATGTTGGGTGTCCAGGCTGCACCAGAGAAGGCTGGGGGCTGAAGGAATTACCCTGCTTGCCCGACAATAGTGTCCAGTGGAGTTGGGTGCCTGAAGAAAAAGCAATAATATCCTCCACTTAGCCATTAGTAATAAGGCATTGAGAAGGTAGCCTGGGAAATCTACTCAGTTGGTACAGCACCTTAGCCTCCAGGGTCACTTTAGCTTTGTACAATGCTAGGAGCATTTACTCAAAGCCCAGCAGAGATGAAGTGCCCCTGCCCCACATTTATAAATTCGTCCCCCAAGTGCCCCCAATTGGAAGCTGCAACTGAGTCAGTAAGGAAAATGGTCTTGCTTTGTCTATTCCCTGTATCCTCCAGAACACAGAGGAAACAAAGCAATGTAGAATAGCTGAGTAGGAGAGAAATGTTCCTTCCAACAATTTCATCACAAAACTCCTAGAAGTACATATTCACCTAGCCTTAAAAAACATTGTGGTAATCATTTTGTGAATTGCAGCCACAGTAATGCCCCATAGTCCTCATGCATCTATGAGCCCAAAAGATTGAAAAGCAGCCCCTAATATACAGGATGTACCAAAAAAAGTCAGGCCCCATGGGCAATTGATTATATTCATCACATTAAATGTTTGAATTGGTTGCCATTTTCTTGTAAACACTTCCATAGTCATTTAACACATGACATTTGAACACTTCTAAATATTGTAACATTTTCTCTGGAAAAAAAGTAATATTCTGATTGTCTTGGGAACCTGACTATTGATACACCCTGTATATCTTTCATTGCTTTTAATTCATAATGAGATAGACTTTGAGGCAGAAGGCTATTATAAAATGAGTTTATAAATTCACCCAGTTTAAATGGTGGTCTTCTAATAATGGTAGCACAAGTGGTCCTCATTTAGTGACCACAACTTGGACCAGCAACCAGGTCATTAAGTGAAGTGATCGCTAACTGAAATTATGACTTATGACTTATTATCTTTCTCCAGCTCTCCTTACTTTATAGACCTGCAATGGTTCTAAATGTGGGGACTGGTCACAAAATTCCTTTTTCATCTCTGCCATAATAACTGCAAGCAGTCACTAAATGAGGCAGTTGCTAAACAAGGACTACATATAATGAAATTTGGCACGTATGTTCCTCTTGGCTTCTAGGTGCTCACTAAGAAAGGATTTTTCAAAATGACCATCAGAGCATTAGTATTTCGTGTATTATTATTAACACGCTCTGATGATAAGGCGTTCTACTCTCCCTCCCCACATGAAAAAAAATATGTTCTCAATGCAAAACACAAGCAGAGGAGAGGAGTTCCAGTTTCAGTTTTTCTTTACAGCACCAAGCAGCTTTAGTACAGAACAGCTGACCTAAGTCACGCCCAGGCTCTTTGCTGTCTCCTTCTTGCTCACACAACAAATACTGCTTCAGTTTCCAAACACCTGAACTTTCTCACACACTGACAGGACGTTAGCCAGATGAATACCGATGGATGCTGGTAGGCAGTTTTTAGCAGTTTTGGAAAAGACAGAATTCAGTTTAAATATAAAAACTATTGAAAATTAACCCCCCATTGTAACATCCATATACCAGGGTATAGTATATTCATATCTAGAATACTATGTACAGCTCTGTTCATCATTTAAAAAATACAATACAATTGGGAAAAGTGCAGCAAAAGACAAGCAGAATTATCCGGAAGTTTGAAAACCTAATCTTCAAGCAAAATCCAGAACATTTGGAACAGTCTAGTATGGAAAAATGGTAACTAAAGAGAAGACACGATTAAAATGTACAAAATTGTGGATGACATGGAGAACAGGGAAGAAAGAATTTATCTTCCTTTCTGAAAACACAAGGAGAAATCTCAGTGCATGAAACTAGCTGCAGAGGTTTAGAATGAAGGAAAGCATTTCTTCACACAGAATATAAGTAACCTATGGAATTCTTGTGAGAAGACATTGTGGCAGCTACTAACTTGGATGGCTTTAAAAGTGGACTTGATAAATGGATGGAGAACAAGTTTCGCAAGGGCAATTTGCTCAAAGTTGGAGCCAGGATGCCTCCAGATATCACTTGCAGGAAACGGTGACAGGAATGGGATACTGTCTCCATCTGCTTAGAAACGCAAAGAGCAGAGGGTGATATGCTACTGGTTCGGCCTGGTTCAGCCTAACCAGTAATAAAAAAAGCCTACAAACAGCTGAGAGGAGGGAAAAAATACTCAGACAATCAGCTGAGAGGAAAAAGAAGAGAAAAGTGCAGGATCGGCCCTCCCACCCACCCCTGTGCTTTTCTCTTCTTTATCCTCTCAGCTGATTGGCGCTGCAGATCTCAGCTGATGTGGGGAAAGCTACGCATCAGCATTAGGCAAAGTACGCCCACCAAGCCACACCCACTGAACCAGTGGTAAAATAAATTGAATCCCACCACTAGCAAAGGGCTACCTGCTTGGCCATAATGAAACAAAAATGCTGGACCTTGGCTTCATCTAGGAAATCCATTCTTATATTCTTAGGCTTGATCTTATATTCTTAGGTCTGTTCAGTATTTTCTACAAAGCAAAGCTGCTCTTTTTAGCAATTTTGTCCAATGGCAGTAAGAGTAAAGTGATGCACATTAGATCAACAAATATTCTAAGTACATCATCTGAATTGTGACTTAACATGAAGTAGAACTTGAAGATTTTATGGTGGATGGCTCAATATAAATATCAGTGGTAACTATGAAAAGGGTAAATTTATTGCTGACTGTTGCTCATTGCCATGATCATATTACACTTATTTTGCAAGATGCGTATGAGTTACCAACAGTTTTCCAAGTGCAATTCAAAATACTACTGTTGACCTATAAAAGGTCTATACAGACTCATCTTCTAGAAAAGATAGTGTTGGCTCTCCAGTTTTGTGAGGGAAGGGAAGAGTTGAGGCCGAAACAACTGCAGTTCTAGAAACTTGAGTAGGCCCTCCAGCAATAGTTTTCTAGAGGGATTTGATTGTTTGCCAGCAATATATTTTGATATTGTGTAAATTGTGATTGGTACTTACTTGGTTTGATTTCTATGAATATTATATATCATACTATATTGTTTGTGGGTTAGTGAGCAGATTATTACTGTGGATTTTCATTATACTATACATTTTTGTTGATGTAAGCTGCCAGGAATGTAGATATACTAGGTGGTGTACAAATTCAATAAATAAATAAAAATAATTTTACTCATTTGTATAATGATGCCATTACCAATTCCATTACACAGGTGACATAAATTGATGCAAATAACATCATTTGTGTTGCTGTGGATGAGATACTCAGGGAGTTGGACTAGAAGACCTCTAAGATCCCTTTCAATTCTGTTATTCTATATTCTTCAATTTAACCAGTAGTTGGCAATAATAGATCTGCCCTCACTCAAGTGGTTTTGTTGTATGATATAGGTAAGTTCTAAATAGTTGAAAATCACTACAGGTAGTTCTTGATTTGCAACCACAGTTGAGCCCAAATTTTCTGTTGTTAGGTGACACAGTTGTTAAGTGAATTTTTCCCCATTTTATGCCCTATCTTGCCACAGTTATTAAGTGAATCACTGCAGTTGTCAAGTTAGTAACACAGATATAAAGTGAGTCTGGCTTCCCCATGAGTGTGGGAGAATGTGATCGTCATAAAGCAGTTGCGAAGCATCCAAATTTTGATCACGTAACCATGGGGATGCTACAACAGTTGTAAGTGTGAAACCTGGTCATAAGTCACTTTTTCCAGTGCTGTTGTAACTTTGAACAGTCACTAAATGAATTGTTATTAAGTCGAGGGCTACCCAGATTTAGTTATTCCTTGCCAAGCTAGATATCAATACCATTATATATAGGAAAACACTATACAGGTAGTCCTCGACTTACAACCACAGTTGAGCCCAACGATTTCTGTTGTGAAGTGAGACATTTGTGTAGTGAGTTTTGCCCCAGTTTATGATCTTTCTTCCAACAGTTGTTAAGTGAATCACTGCAGAGGTTAAGTTAGTAACATGGCTATAATGTGAATCTGGCTTCCCCATTGACTTTGCTTGTCAGAAGGTTGCAAAAGCTGACCACACGAGCTTAGGACACTGCAAATGTCATAAATATGATGAGCCAGTTGCCAGGCATCCAAATTTTAATAATGTGACCATGGAGATGCTGCAATAGTCATAATTGTGAAAAACAAGCAAGTCCCTTTTTTCACTGCCGTAACTTTTGAATGGTCACTAAATGAATGGTTGTAAGTTAATGACTACTGCAATTCCTTCCCATTTGGTTATAGTTTATTGGATGCTTACCA